CATGATTAGCCTCATGTTTATACACCATATGAACCATATGCGTTTATGCAGAATCCAACCGTGATATCTCAGGTCTAAGGATTAAAAATACCCTAGTATGATCTTATGATAAATCATTGACTACATTTTAAATGTCCATGTGATTCATCATAAATGGCCATATTCGATAAACAGTTCACTAACCGCGTATCCATGCTAATGCCCTAGTGATATAACTTTTATAATCACCCACACCAATACCATCACATGATATTCTACGGAGGCATTCAGCATGCCTACTATGTAATATTATTGCCCAATTAATATTACCTATGTAGGGAATACTTTGATGATTTTGATCTTCTAAAGATTTGTATCATCCGGACATTTCACATGTAATACATATATATAAATGAAGCAATAAACCACATGTGAAATAAGAACACTTTCTTCTATTGATAAGATAAAATGTATATACAAACTATACACATTCACATATATATACAAAACATAATGCCTCAGAACCGATGACACGATTGGTTCCTAGGGCATACGCTAACACCAATTGGTATTTTACATCCCCATATATAGTTGATGGCATATTAGTATTTTAAATTACAAAGAACTGGTATATATGTAAGTGACTATGTTGATGACTTGATATAAATTAATAAAATAATGTTAAATCAAACAATTAAGGCTATTTTTGTCATTGTTGTTATTGTACCATGTCAGGTAGAAGTAGGCATTTCGGACCGGGTCCAAAAGCCCAGTCCCAAAACCCGGTCCTAGGACTGGTCCTTGAGAGGACAGATCCTTTTGGGACCAAGCCTAAGGACGAGAGCCTGGGCCCTCCATTGGGCCCTCCTCCAAGGCTTGGGCCTAGGACCAGTCCCAGGCCTGGCCCCAAATTTTTTTGGATTTTTTCAATGTAATCCCTTGTACAATTACATAAAACCCCCTATCAATTTAAAAATAAACATAAATTATGGGGTTAAAATAAAATTTTACAAGATTTATAAAAAAATAAAAAAAATTTTGCTAACCGTTGGCTACTGCCAACGGTTATATATTTTTTTTTAACCGTTGGTTGGCAACGATCACATGCCAGCCAACAGTTATAATTTATTTTATAACTTTTTTTTTTTCATGTCAGGTAGAAGTGGGCATTTGGGATTGGGTCCAAAGCCCAATCCCAAAACCCGGTCCTTTTGGGACCAGGCCTAAGGAGGAGGGCCCGAGCCCTCCACTGGGCCCTCCTCCAAGGTTCGGGCCTAAGACCGGTCTCAGGCCTGGCCCCAAAATTTTGGACTTTTTCAATGTAGTCCCTTGCACAATTATGAAAACCCCCTATCAATTTTAAAATAAACATAAATTATGAGGGCTAATAAAAATTTTACAAGATTTATAAAAAAAATAAAAAAAATTTTTTTGCTAACTGTTGGCTGCTGGTAACGGTCACATGCCAGCCAATGGTTATAATTTATTTTATAGCCTTTTTTTTTTTATTCACTCCCCCCCCCCAAACTACACTATAAATAACCCTAAAATCTTTTATTTTTTCTACACCAATCAATCTCTCATTCTCTCAATCTCTCTACTCCAATTCTCCAATCAATTTCTCATTCAATTTATATTTATATTTATATTTATAATTTATTCATATTATTTATTTATATTATTCAATTTATTTATATTTTTCAATATCATCATAATTTTATATTATTATTTAATTTCTTTTCATTTTAATTATTTATTATTTTATCATAAATTTATAATGGCTTCTCCAAATGAGTTTTATGTTTAATCCACCGAAGAAATGGAAGGGTTTAATCCATTTTCACCATTTCCTCCAGAGGAAGCAGCTGCAATTCTACAACCACATTCGATCAGGACGAGGTGTAGCCAAACACATGCGAGCTGCGAGTCAACAGGCATGGGCATAGCCCAACCCTCCCGACCTTCAAAGAGGGATGTGTTCGATGTATGATGATACTTCACCAAATCAAAACAGCCAAAGACAAATGGGGAGGGGGAAGAATCATGTGGGATATGTAATTTTTGTGGAACCATTATTGGCGCTGAGAAGGGGACTTCGACGATACGACGACACGTGGAGAAGAAGCACCCCCAAAATAATGCAGTTGCCCGATGCATCTTCAAGCGGATTAGGTAGACAAATTTAAACTCAACTTAATTTTAATCCAAAATCCTCAACTCTCTCAACATGGCAATACAGTGCACATGTTGCACGAGAGGAAATAGAAAGATATATAGTTGCTACGGACTCTCCCATTTGTTTATCTGAAAATCCTTTTTTTATTCATATGGTTAAAACTGCATTTTGTCTAGCATATACCCCTGTTAATAGAAGTACAAGTAGAAGAGATATACTAAAACTTTATAAAAAAATAAATAATAAACTTAAAAACGAATTTCAAAATTTTTGGAATATATCTTTGCACTTACATCAGACATATGGGCTTGTAGATCAAAAACCGATTTTTTAACTGTCACAGTACATTTCTTAGATCATAATTGGGGTTTACAATAAAAATTGATTGGTTTTAAATTATTATATGAAAAACATAGTGCTGAAACTATTTATTTTACAATTCTTGAAGTTTTGCAAGAATATTTATTAACTGATAGAGTTGTAGCGCTAACGTTTGATAATGCAGTTACTAACACCGTGACAATCTCTTTATTTGTAAAGAGATTGGATTCGTATGTTGAAGACAAATTTTTTCACCAGAGATGTGCTTGCCACATCATCAATTTGATAGTTAAAGTAGGTTTAGATGCTATACATTCGAAGATGGAGACGGTGCGCAGAGCTATCGGATTTATCGTCAGCGGTAGCAATAAAAGATGGCAGGAGTACTTCAAATATTGTAAGCAAGAGAACCCACCGGTTCGACCTTTGAAGTTATGTACAGATATGCCTATCCGTTGGAACCCCACCTACTTGATGTTGGAAAAAGCTTTACCAACCGCGAGACAAATTACGTATTTCGTCAACCGGAAGAACCGTCCAGAGGAAGTTGTCAGCTATGATGATTGGACGGTTTGTGAACTTTTTTTTCATTTCTTCAAATTTTTTATGATGCTACTATTACATTAAGTGGTATTTATTATCCAACTACTAATTTAGTGTTAGATATTTTACTTCAAATTGCTAGAACTTTTGCTCAATATAGATATAATAACATTTTAAGTGAAATTGTCTTAAAGATGGAAGAAAAATATAAGAGATATTGGTTAGATATTTCATTCTTATATGGATTAGGCCTTGTTCTAGATCCTAGGTTTAAATTACACGTAGTTAACTGTATAATTACTTAGATAGGCCAGCATTTAGGACATGATTATACGTCTTATTTGACTGACTTTAAACAAAAATTGGATAGCCTTTTTTCTTTATATGAGAACAGGTACAATGGATGTGGAAGTGGAAGTGGAAGTGGAAGTGGAACGTTCAGGAGAGAGGATCCGAACCTTAATGCAACCCTCCGTCAAGGATCGAGCAAGTGGACATGTGTGGAACGTGGTGAAAATAGTAGCTCTAGCTCATACATACATACATGGACCAAATGAGCTGAATCGCTACCTACAAGTGGACCTGTCCTTTATGACGATGAAGGAGCAACATGATATGGATATTCTTCAATGGTGGAACCAATATGAAAGTCGATTCCCCATTGTAGCCCAAATGGCACGTGACATTTATCTGTGCCGGTTTCTACAATTGCATCCGAGTCAACATTTTCAACGAGTGGTCGGATTGTTGAAGACAGAAGATGTTCTTTAACTGATGAGATGATTGAAGTGATAACGTGTTTACGGGATTGGACTCATGCAGAAAAAAAACTACAACAGCACCCTGAAGATCCCGAACTACTCGAACTCTTTAGGAATACATATTTGAATGATTTAAATATTTTTGACGATGAAAATGAATAATTTTATTAAAAAAAATATTTAATTGTTTATTTGTGAAGCGTGAATGTGTGAAACGTGAATTTATGTTAAAAATTAAAATTAAAATTAAATTAATTAAAATTTTAGAAATTTACTAATCTACCCCTAAGAAATACTAAAAACCCCCTACAAAATTTTGTTTTGGCCCCAAAATAAAAAAAAAGATTAGACGGGGGGGGGGGGGGGGGGGGGGGAAGAGAATTGTCCTGGCCCATAGGACCAGTCCTTAGGATCGGTCCGGGTCCTCATTCTGCTCATGGGCCTGGGAGACCAGTCCCAAAGGACCAGTCCTAGGACAGGCCTGCTTGGGACTGATCCCTGCCCACCTCTAATGTCAAGTAAGAGAATTCACTAACAAATCCTGACCGAAAGTGGGTATTTGTCGTTTTCAAACTTTTTGGGTAGTGAATTGTCTTCAGGGTAAACTTCGAGTGGGAGGATGTCATTCGGCTAAAAAAATAATCCTAACCTAAACCTCTCTCTCTCTCTCTCTCTCTTTTTATTTTATTATTATTATTATTATTATTTAAGAATGGATAATGGGACAAATTTGGGTATTCATGAAAAAAGTGGGATAGACACGGAAATCTTAGTACTCATCCGCATAGAGGAGAAGATCCTGATCCAAATAAAATATACTTTATATATTCTACATATTCACTTAGCAAAATGGGGTAAAAGACTAAAAGATTGAGATACCCATAAAATATATATACTTTTTTAACACCCACAAAGCAGCCAACTTGAGAGACTATGCACTAGAAGATATATGGTATGATTAACAAAATTTTCCAATGAAATAATGCAGGTGAAAAGATAATAAAATAATTTAGAAATAACATAAAAATCTGAGAAGGCTGATGACAAGAGAACACCCCCATTGAAACCTATTAATCCTTAATATTAAATGAATGAATAGCATTCCTATTAATGAATTGGTTATAACTATCTATAGGTTCTCCAAGTCCAACTAATTAAGAAATCTAAATTCACAAATATTTTGAGCAAACACTAATCAATACAAATATTAAATCTAAATGTCAATTATAATCGGAAATAATTGAGTGAATAGAATCAGAAAGATTGTTAATGGCCTCAACAAAGTTGGCGATTTCTTGGCGTTCAACTTCATTTCTAGTTTCTTCAATTTGCAGCCTATGTTGTTCGATCTCCATGAATAGTTGGTGTCGTTTCTCTTTCATTTCGTCGCATCTTTTAAGGGTTTGAGCCAATTTTGAAGCACTACGAACGATGCTGGAGCTTATATTTTTAACTCTTCTCCTCTTTGAATTGGAGTCGCTTTTCTCACCTGTGACAAATAATTATAATAAAAGAAATTATGGAAACCAGTTTAAGTGGAGTCAATCTATATCCATTAATTAGATTAATTTTTTAATATCTATACATAAATCGGTTGTACTATATGCATCATATTGATAATTCTTAATTTATCCTAAAGTTTATAGTAGCCAATTAAATTAGTCAGTGGACCAAAAGGTTAGGTGATGTTCCAGCTACAATCACCTCAATAAATATCATGTAACTTTTGCTCACTTGTTTTCATCTTTATTTATTCATTTGCAACAAATTAAATGGAAAAGGGAATCTAGAAATTGGTAAAATTAGCTATTTATCTATCTTGCTACTTCATTTGCCTTTCACCTATATAAAATCCTCCCTTCTGGTTTCTTTCTTCTTTGTCTTACCCTAATTGAATATTGGAGTCTAACTATTGACCTCAATACTTAAATATCTATAAAGGAAAATTCTAATTGAAGGTAGGTGTCTACATTTTTTAAATTTTGAATATTTATTTTCTGATTTAAGAAAACATCAAAAGATCGAACTTAAAAATTTCCTATATAATTGAATTTTTTTTTTTTTTTAAATTTACCAACTAATTAAGAGACACCAGAAAAAGATGTGTATAATCATAAATCTCAATTAAATTTCTCCAGCCACCAAGAGTATTTCTTCATCCACAATAGATTATGTATCATCAATTAAATACTGAAAAGTCTTATACATATGTATACGTTAACTTATAGGGTGGAAATGTATTTTACTTAAGCTGTATCAGAGTCCGCATGAGTAAAAACAATAATGCGGTTGGTGGTAAATGCGACAGAATTTTCAAAGCCTGCAACTTTGACCAAATAATTTTTTATACTATTAACTCTCCATCACGACAAAAATCAAGTGCTGATTTTAGAACGTACTGACACAAATATGAATCAATGAAAAATTACTATTACTTCTGATAATTCAAATACCTGAAACATGGGTCCCAGAACCACCCACCGGTGCCGGAGGATATGGCCGGAAGGTCAATTGTTGTGGAGATGCATTTCTATGTCTCCTTTGAACAACCTCATTAAGTGCTTGAAAAACTTCTTGGGACATATTAGAAGGAAGATTATGAAGTTTCCGCTGGTGCTTGTCCATTTGCCAGTATGACTGTTGGTGGGTACTGAGTTTCTTATAGTCACGAAGCAAGTTATCCCATTTGTCATTGCATTGATTCTGGCTATGGCGGCAGCCGTGAGCCCAGCAGTAGTTCTCCACCCAATTCCAGCGGAGGTTGGCGGTGGTACGCAGGTGTTCAGTGCTAAGTTTCTTGGCAGTTATAAGGATGAGAGTTTCTTGGATTGTCCAGTTGCCTTTGTGGTACTCGCGGTTGCGGCTAATGAGAGGCGGCAGGTGGTGGTGGTGGTGGTGGAGAGAGGTTTGTGGGTTGGACATGGGCATTAATTGAAAGGAAAGATAAAGTGAGTGAAGGTCGATCACAAGTATGATTATTAGCTTGCTGGATTTCTTCTTTTTGGGAGATCTAGTGGTTTATGAGAGGTTTTCACCAAATCATCATGATGGTGTGGTGAAATTGTTCAAGTAAAAGTATGCATGTGAAGCACTTAATAGAAATAACATACTGATGAACATGTTTAAAAAAGGGCATTTTTTTATAAACAAAAATATAGGAGTATTATAGATTAAAATAAATACATGTTATGATAAGTATTTTTTGTTGTAGTGTATACAATAGTTTGAATTTTATTTGGGATTTGAGGAAATAAAACACTTGAAACAAATAAAATATTAAGTTAATTAATTTGAAGAGGTTAGAGAGTAATGAAAATGATGTTGGGTTACTTCATAAGAAAATAAGGTTAACAATAATAAATCAGGGTTAATTTTTAAGATAGAGAGAAAAACTACACTACCAATGAGATACCAATTAAAACTCTTTCGTTTTAGAAATATCAAAGGAGATGCATTCAATTGCTTCAGTTCCTTAATAATCAAGTCACAAAAAATTAGCAACTCAAGTACTGTGAGATACTAATTTTAAATATAGATATAATAAAACTTCTTTATTGTCAAAATGATGGGAATAACTAATTTTATAACTATGAGAAGATTATAACTTAATAAAGGTGTAGTTACAAAAATTATTGTTTTAATTTTTAATTTTATAATTAATGTTTTAATAGTACAACATTATGATTTCAATTCATGTTTTAATAGTATCAGGATTTTAATTCAGCGCTTCGATTCTTTACTTTTGAAATGGATAGAAGATCGTGTCTTGGAACCAATAGAGATAAGTGTTCTCGATGGAATTGTAAATGCAGTTGTTGCATGGTCAATTAATATGAAGCCATAGACAATTGTCAATTCTTTTTGCACTGCAAAATTAGGATTCCTAATGTTGATGAATTACAAGTTACAAATGAAGAAGATGAGGAGAATCAAAGAGTCATTGCAGAATTGAGTGATCAGATTCGACAACTTCACTACATTAATCGAATGAATATTAATATATTTATCAATCATCTAAATGAGCAACAAGTCATGTATGCTTTAATTGAAGAAAAATTCATTGTCACAATTAGACAAGAAGAGAAAATAAATAATTCCGAGGATGATAGTACAGAAATACAAAAAGTTTTGTACCAAGAAACTCTAAACATGCTTGAGAAGCTAAAAATATTTTGGCTTCAACAAGAAGGTATCCATTTTAGTGAATTATTGCGTACTTGCAAGGTAAACGATATGGTAACAACTCTAAAATATAAATCATTATTTTAAAAACCTTTAGATAAATATTTTATTTCATCTTAAACCTTTAATGTAATATATATACACACACACACACACACACAGAGTAGAACCTCTCTATAGTGATACTCTATATAGGAATAACCTTCATGTAGTCATAAAAAATGTTGGTCTCAACTTGGGTCAGTTATAAATAAGAATAAATTTCACATTATAATAAGTTATAATTTTTCTAGGTCATGTCTTAAGGAACTTGCCTCTACATAATTATAATTATATGTATATTACAAAAAATAAATGTTATGTTACATTAAAGGTTTAAGATGAAATAAAATATTTATTTAAAGTTGTTTGGGACAATGATTTATGCTTTAGAGTTGTTACTACATCTTTTATCTTGTGGGTACTTAATAAGTCGACAGCATGGACACCTTCTTGGTGAAGCCAAAATATATCTAGCTTTCAAGCATGTTTATAGCTTCTTGGCATGAAATTTTTGGTATTTTCATATCACCCTCAAGATTATCTCCTATCTCCTTCCTCTTTTTGTCTAATTCCAGTAATGATTTCTTCTTCAGTTAAAACATACACGACTTATTGCTCATTTGAATGATTGAGGAAGTTATTAATATCCATTTAATTAGTATAGTGAAGTTGTCGAATCTGATCACTCAATTATACAGTCACTGTTTGATATCTATTTTTGTACTATCCTAATGCTACTAAAACAATGAATTGAAATCCTAATACTAATAAAACGTAAATTATAAAATAAGAAATCAAAACAATAATTTTTGTAACTATACCTCTATTAAATTATAACCTCTTTATAGTAATAAATTTAATTGGTCCTAACATTATGACTATATATGTATATATGTATATATATACAAATGGTGGGATATGTAATCTTAAGATTTGAGATCACTGGAGCATCGTGTGTATATAGTAGTTTAGTTTGACACTAACCTAATATAGTCTTTTCTAAGGTTATCAATATGGTAGTGGTTGGTTACATTATGAAATACATCATGACTATGGTGGATCAATAAAAGATTTATCACTCATGATTACGAGGGTAGTCATCTCACCATGCAGTTTGATGATATGGCAACAACCATTAATCTGTGGGCCACAGTGGAATTAAGTTGTCGCACAAATCTGATTTAATCGCAATCGTTAGTTTGATAACCAAACACTAAATATATCAAGGATGTTATTTGAGGATAACACTACTTTTGTACCTCAACCTTGATGGGATAATAGATGAATGAAAGAATTAGATTGCATAATAACCATACCGTTGATAGATATCAGTTCTTCGCTGATCTTTACTTGTTGAGTGACCATGATGCCTTACTAGAGGTTAATCTTGTTCTGTATATTGTGAGATAATTAATTGGTGGTTAATCGCGATACTATTTACTGCAAACATGATAGTGAGCTTACGGGTTACATACATAAAGAGAATTAAATCTAGAATCATATATTTAATCAAAGAAGGGTTAAAGGGTATTTTGGTCTTTTTACTAAGACAATGTAATTTAGTAATTTTGTATAGGTTGTTGCCTATGCCTATTTATTATTTAAATAGAATAAATAAAATTACTTAATTAATATTTAATATAATAATATTAATTGAACAAATTAAAATTACCCTACTTAATATTAAATATAGTTATTAATATTAATTGAAACAAAATACCTAACTAATAATTAATATATTTAGTATATTAATATCAATATTAATTGGAAACCTATTTAATTCTATCATAGATTGGTTTAGTATTAAACCAATAAGGAATAGAATTGTATCCTATTCTAAGATGGAATAGGATTTTAAGTTACACTATATAAGTCAACCTAAATTTAGGTTTCATGAGAGAATTCATTCACTCACTCAAAAATATTACTCAATAATTTGAGAGAGAGCTTTAGCCCTAGCCGCTCATCCCATTCTAGCAAATTGGGATTTTTCCTCTTTGATTGTTCTTGGGTTTTTTCATTATGTTGATACTGAAGCGCAATTTTACTCTTGAATCGAGTTGTAAAGAATTAGAGAAAATGAGCTTCCAATCTAAAGTATCTCAGTCTTTGAATGGATTTTAAGCATGAAAACAGTAAAATCAATACCCAGATACTAGACTTTAAGGTTTAATTAAAAATTTAAATTGTCAACTCTACTGCGTATGTTTTAATTAAACCTTACAGTCAATAAGATTACTTACTCTTAGCTCAGAGGCAAGCCTATTGACATCAAAAGTTTCCATTGCAACATTTTTCATAGCTCTTTTAAGAAACATGCAATATCTAGAAACATGTCTTTTGTTTGCTCATCGAGTCCATCATAACTTATTTTCAACACATCTTAGATCTTTGGATTCGGATTTCTTTTTAAGTTATACAAAACACTTTCCCATTCTAACTTTGTCTTGCCAAGAAGTAGGCCATCCAAAATTTTAAGAGGTAATGGAACACCTTTACCAAATGTTGCTGCCCTCGTTAATAGCTCCTTGTAACTTGTTGGAGGATAATTCAGCTTAAAGGTATGTCGACTAAAAAATTTAAGAGCTTGATTATATTTTAATCCTTTAACCTCATATGGATATAGGTGCTCGAGATTTCCTACGTGGTAGAGACAAATGTCGCTTAATCCACCCATTTTACTTCTGGTTGGTTGACGACATGGAGAAGTTTAACTCTTATCCATTGAGCATCGTTGTTTGGGCGTACACATATCGATCCTTTATGTCATTTTGGATGCATGTCCAAAAAGCTATAAAGCGTGCGGGAAAGAAAACCCATGAAAAGTATTAACTTAGGTGGATATCCCTTGTTCTTTTAAGTACTATAACTTTTCATGTATTTGTAATTACTATAGCTTTATTTTGTCAATCTATTTTGCATTTCATACAAGTAGCCATGTTCGTACACCATACCTCATGCATCATCACCCTCATTAAGGTCCTCGATTTCGCATGTTTTGCCTCATATCCAGTATATAATTTTAACCATTATTATTGTTATACTAATATCACATTATAGTTATTGACAAATGTTTGCTACCTGTGGATAATGTTGGAGATGAGAGTGTCCGTAAGATCCCACAATTCCAGGTGCAACTTTCTTGATTTGAATGCCGTAGATTTACATCCCCATGATACGTAGTCTATATGCGACAATCCGTTGTAGACCATTGATGTCGACAGCCATCAGCACATTAACGGGAGGCTGCCTTTGTATTTTAATGAGTGCTTGACTGTTGACCATGTTACCATTCAAGTGTGGATTGATTTCTTACAAAAAGTTAAAGACATCTTAGTGGCTAGAACCCGACGTAAGACATTATTCTTATTTAAGCACTGGAAATATTATTTTTAACTATATTACCATGTTTTTTTTTTTCAGCATACTGATATTTACATGTTTATGTTACATCTTCGACAGCGCTGTAACACAAACATAGTCCCACAAGATTGCATTTCAGCACATATTCTACTGCACATTGGATGTTACGATGATACAATGGGGCCTAGATGTTAAGGAATACGTGGATAGACATAGACTTCTTTGTCAATCGCACTCATGCTAAGATGTAGATACAGTATGTATTTCAAGATATATTCGTCTACTAATATACGTATTGTGTTCTTTATATATAATGGGATTCTAATTTTTGTATA